AGATTCATGTGTTTATCAATGAAGTCATGACGTGGGAGCTAGTGCCGGAGTGGGTACGTAACAAGCATGCAAAGACGCGTGGTTGTGTATAGATCAAATGAAAAGCGGTTTGATCAGCCAGTCGGTGGTCCAGGGTGTGACTTGCTAGCATTCGACATTTGAGGTCCCCGATTCCAATCTCGGTTGGGTTCGAACCGATAATGAAACCATATAACGTCAATGAATGTCGCAATGTTTTCAAGCGTCCCAGATAATGAGGCCTCTCTTCTGCAAACAACACAATTCCTCATACAATCCGATGAGATTCCACCATGCTACTTTGTTAATTTACGAATAGACATGAATAGACAGTCATAATCATTTATACAATAGAAGAAAAATGTCAGATAGTAACGAGTCTTATGACTCATGGATGAACTTAAATTAACCGGTTAAATACAAGTGTTTGTTTGCAAGCGTGAGCAATTTGTTGAACTTGCAAAATCAACGTTCGTCTCACTATCCGTGAGCAGTGTGGATCACAACGACGTGCCATGACTGAGGACGGTTTCACCACATTGACAATGTAATACCTCTCAGTGGAGTGGGAACTTGTGTCACGTGCACATTCGGTGGGCTAGGTTGAGTGTTCACCTTTAACAATTAAATGGAATTAGGTTCACATGACTAATATCGTATCGGTTCTATCAGTGAATGAGTCTTTGTAACTACGAGAGATGTAAATGCCACGTTTGTTATCAGTGTATATCCGACAGATGGTGCCATCTGAACTTCGAGTAGATAGTTGCAACGTGATCATGAGGTGTTGGAATGTCCGCAAAGGATTACCACCGAGATTGTAGAGTGATTGATCTGCTTGACCTATGAAGAGAAATTACGATCATTGGGACTATATTCTGCCCATAACGCTGAGTTCGAGGAGACTGGATTTTGGAGAATCAAATCCGGTGGAATCCAATCTATCCATATCGGCCGCTGCCCACGTTTTCACCCGACATAAATCTTAGGGGACATTGTTTCAAGTTATTGATTCCAAAGTGTCGACTGAAACGTCGGCGACAATATTTTGTAGTCAGAGTATGCAGTAGTTCCATCTCACATTGACTGTCCACTAACCGTTGAAGCATTCAAGGAGAGACGTGTTGAAATCTCGACAGATCTCATATTCCCACACAACTAAAAAATGCAAATTATAGTCAACTGCGCAGCATAAGATCGCCACACTTTATTTCTAAGGCAAGCTTTGCAGTATCACAATTTGTAGAAAATATTTTTTTTCAACATTTGTTTCCTTCAGAATATTCCGATACTATTTGATCTGACTCGTATACTGTGGCGTGACTAAAGTCTGTGCATCGAGGCTAAAGAACTATGGGTAGTGGCTTAATCATTGCCGGTTTCGGTTAGTGGATCACGGGTCGAGGCTAGGCGGCTCTTGGTTTTGGCTAAAGCTTGATGGGAATAATTGTAGTTGAAGATTACTTTATCTGTTATGTTCCACCCGAAAGTCTGTGTGATATTTTTTTCATTTTTTGGACCGAGAAATGACTCAACTGTGTAAATATTCCATGGGGACAAGAGAAGCCAGAGCTTGTAAGTTATGCCCATTATACAAGTATGACTTTGACTTTCTCATTTCTATCGCGTTTCATCATTGGTTGAAGATGATCAATGAAATTGTTATATGCTCGTTATGATCTACCACATAGTTTTCAAAAAAATAAACGCACCATATTACGGCATTTTTTCATTTACTTCAATTTCCGCAGATGCGGACTCAATGTAGTCACATACGTATAGCCATTCGCATAGGTAACCCTTGCCATTCTGCTTTCACTCACTCAATATGACTTTCATGGTGTGTGTTTTCATGGAACGCCAATCTGTGAGAACTAGGCCAAAAATAATTTTTATGGGTTATATTCAAGTAAACTTACCGAAATTGAATTAGTGCAAAGTTTCACTCAAATTAGGTGCATAGAAATGGGTCTGCAATTGTTCACACTTGTCCAAAGCGAGTAAAAATACCACATTATCTCTCACAAATGTTTTCAGGAAATTCGAGCATCCCAATCTGACCGAATTGGTGGGAATTAGTGTGGAAACCTCATACGTTCATTTCTACTGGGAGTATTGTCCAAAAGCCAGTTTGGGTTCCATAATACGAAGAATGGCTTTACCTTTGAACTGGACATTTCGGTAAGTTCCACATGAGTAATGTACCTATAGAAAGACCCATGGCCAGTCTTGCAATTTCCGGCCACTTGTGATTAAAATCTTGCCGGTGGTATCTTTTTTTTGGAGACTCTACAGTTCGTGTTACTATATATTATCATTACAATTATTATCAATATTATTATTCATTCATTCCGAAACGCAATTTTTTAATAATTATTCTCTGCCTTTACTTCTGCCTCCTACTTTCAGTTAATATCCTTGTTCTCGGAGTAGTTTACACATCCTTGTTACCAAAACACCACACGGTTTGCGATGGAGTTAACTTGATCAAACAAACAAGTCCATTTTCATATCAGTCAAATTTTCATTTGTTCAAAAGAGAGACAATGTGACACTGTGACACAAATTACCAATTAGGACAAACGCGTTTTGTTTGTCGGAAAGCCTGGTGAAAATACTTCTCAAGAGGGATCATACATTCAGTATACAGAGAATTAAATGTAGCGCAAGATGCAGAGCCACCTAAGTGTTAGCCCTAGCGTATAACCCCCCCCCCTTCTCGGTCCTTGTTGGTTTTGTTGACTGTTTTCTCTAATGATTTAGTTTATAGTAGCAAAAACGTGAACGACATCATACGTGTGGACCTTTTACCTTCCGTTTTGTCCCTCCAGTCTGTCATTGCTTACCGACATTGCAAATGGCCTGATGTTCTTACATAAACATGGAATCATACATGGACGTTTGAGTTCTAACAACTGTGTGGTTGACGGTAACTGGACGTGTAAAATCACAGGTATGTGAGAGTGAACTTATTAGTACTTTCATTTATTCTCGACGGATGAGATGAAATTTCACTAATCTTTCATTAATTTCATTAATCTTTACAAAGCAATAGCTACTTATTTATATTTTGCAATATAACAGAGTTATAGTCACTCAAATTTCAAACAAGTAAGAAGAACTATTTGCAATTAAACCCAGTCAACAAAGTACTCCGAATACACTAGTCTGAAGTTTTGCTCTTGTTGGAGCTCATCAGTAATGTGTATCCACTCAGTATTCGACTATTTAAACGTCGAACTACCAGCATAAGCAAACTGGACACAAACACTCAGCCAATTATGAACAGTGTTTGGATGTAGGTGGTAGCAGTAAGTCATTACCTTCGTGACCATCAACATGGCAACCACCCGCATCGTCATTACTACAAACCTCTTACGGAATATAAGATGAACAACTTGACACAGACTTTCATGATATTCTTACCTTCACAGTCCAGGACGCTTTTATTCAAACAAGCCCGTGAACACCAGTTGAATAAAATTTATAATAAAAATTCGCAGTTCATCCACACTTCGATTTTTTAACTCTATATGATTAACATGACCGAAGAATTTCACCCCTGCTGCACAATTGCCGATCGGAAAAGGGAATAAGTTGCAACTTGGGCACAGTAAAACCAACAGATGTCTGTTTCCAAGTTTCGCGACACAGTCATCATTCTATTCTTTTTTATAACCCAAACCAATACGTGATAATCTAGGTATGATCAACCTACTATCACGGTTCTGGAAAATTGATTTTTTTCACTCCGTCATTTACCGTTACTCATCTACGGTGAGTTACAAGTTCCGATGCTTAAACCAGCAAACGAATCGCAGGAAAAACCTTCTTCACCATTGTGATGTTTGCTGAGATTATGGGACAACGTTATCCCTGAAGAAAGTCGAATTTATAGAAACGATTGTCTCTAACCTCTCGACTACGTTCGTATAGCCGCTAAAGTTCTGCATTTCGGTGACTTTTATTATCATAAGTGTCTTATTTCGAAAGCTTTGGATTAGTTGATGTCACAAGATCGGTCTACTTCGGACAGAAATCCAGTAAAACTGCTATAACGCAACATAAACTAACTAAAATAAAAGTGACTGAGATGTTAATCAGATCATATTGATCTTTGAATTATACCTTATTGAGTAGGATTCACTGTCAGGATTCATACATGTTGCGATTCCGTTTGTCCAACTATCAAATCAAGATGCCCAAGAATCACTTCAATATGTCCGTGTGTCATATACATTATTCTTAGTATCATTTGAAGCTTTCTTGGAACATGAGCCTTTTAGCTGTGATGTGGTCAAGTTAAAACCTTCAAATGATACCGAGAAAACTTCAAGTGAGATCCGGATAACTTGAAACGATACTCGGATATCTTGACTTGGACAGCCCGGATCGAAAAAATGTGTAGATAAACCCGATTGTGCCTAACACAACGCTTTTAATCAATTTTGAGCTGCTCATCACGTTGTTGTACTCTATTGCGGTTGTAGATTTTGGTATGAACGATATACGATTTAAATCGGAATATCAGAAAATTCAATCTTTTATGAAAAAACACGACAATATCCCTTACGTGTTTTTTCATAAAAGATTGAATTTTCTGA